CACTCATAATTTCAACTAAATTAATAGTCTCATCTCTGATAAATAACAATAGTTTAATCTCCAATAATTATTGAAAATTTATAGCAAAAATACACAATTATTGAAAATATATTGATAATGAAAAATACAATAATTATAGAAATTACAAAAATACAATAAGTACTAAAAATATATTAACTTAGTCAATAAATAGTATAATCTTAAATAATAGTTTAATCTCTCATAAATATTAATCAATATCTTATAATAAAAATACAATAAGTACAATAAATTAAATTTAAAATTTTCAATAATAGTAATTTAATCGCCAATAATTATTAAAGGTTTTCTGTTAAATAACAAAACAAAAAAATTATACATAATCATTGAAAATACATTTATCACAAAAACACAATAAATATTAATTTTAGTATATAATTATGTAATAAATACAAATTAAGAGTTTAAAATTATTATTAATAAATATTAATTTTTTTGAAAGTTATTTTCTTGAATTATTACTTGATATCAGTGAAGTTAATTATTTACATTATTATGTAAAAATATTAAATTATTATTAATTTCAATATTATGTTATAATTATTTTTCTATTTCTTAGATTTTTTTTAAATTATTACGTAATTTCTTTAATTTAACTATTTAAAATCTTATTATGTTAAATATTTTGTTTTTTAAATATTTAGTTATTTAAATACTTAAATAATATGTCAAATATTTAAAATTTAAAATATTAATTATTTATTGAATTTAATTATCCATAAAATCATAATTTATACTATTATTACATAGTTTCATTATTAATTTTGTAATATATTAAGTTATTATTAATTTCAATATTATGTTATCATTATTTTTCTACTTTGAAGAAATTTTTTAAATTTATTACCTAATTTTGTTATTTTAACTATTTAAAATTTAGTAATGATAAATATTTAAATAATCTATAAAATATTTAATTTTTTTTTGTTATTTGAATTTTATTTATTTAAAGCTATTACATACTATTAAATATTTGAAAAGCATTTAAATTGATAATCCGGAAAAACCTAACTTAGATTGTTAGTACATAATTTTGTGATATATTTTGTAAAAATATAAATTTTTTTTATGTTTTTAATAAATATTTTAAAGTTATTATATAATTTTGCTAGCATATTTAAATAATTCTTAAGTTTTTTTTTTTAATTTAAACTTTCTTTAGATAGATATAGATAATAAGTAGAGGTGATGATAAATAGGAATTAGAAATAATTTAGGAGAGAAACTCTCTACTAAATTAGAGATAACTTTGAAGATAAATAGGAATTAGAGATAATTTATAAGATAAATAGGAATTAGAGATGATTTTTGAGAAAGTAAGGGGTGGTGGGGAGGTAGTTTAGGAGAAATTTTTGGAGAAGAGATTATTTAGGTGATTAGGAAAGTGCATCTCATTGGTTGTTTAAAAAATGACATGGAATTAAAAAAACAAAAAATTCAAAAAAAGGAGAAAGTTTCTTGACCACTTTGTTTTAATATATATAGATATACATAACTGGTTGGATAGCTACAATCAAAACTGGTCTGGTGTTGAATACCCAAATCTGAGTCTGATTTGAAATACTGGATTTGGATTTAATCTGACTCGACTTTATTATCATTAAAATAAAGAAAGGAAATTAAAACTTAATTAATTTTTAACTTATACTATTAATATTTAAAAAATGTATATAAATATAGAATATCCTCTAGTTGTAGTTATGACTACTGCAGGGGGTGGCAAATGAGTGGGTTGGGTTGGGACAATGTTAGGGTTGAGTACCGACTCACCCATATTGATCATCTAACCTATTTTCCACCCATATTTATTGATGTTAGTGGGTCATAACCCACCCTAACCCTGAACCATCCATATGATCCATCCTGACCCAAACTGAAGTTTTTTCTTTTTACTTTTTCTCTATTTCAAGTTCCAAAACACCGTAATGTATACTTCAACTAAGAAAATATAAAAGATATTAAAAAGTTTAAAAATACTTTTCAAATAAAAATAAAAATGCATAAAACACTAAAAATGATAAATATATTTTATGTAAAACATAAGAAATTATAAAAAAATAAAAATAACAATAATAGTTTAAATGAATGTATCATTTCACATAAAAAATGAAAATTGTAGAAAATGTAAAAACTTACAATAAATACAGAATTTCAGAAAGATATAAAAAATGAAAAAAAGAAATTTCGAAAACAAAATGAAGCAAATATAATTATAAAAACAACAAAAATATAAAAAACAAAAAAAAATCGCAAATAAATAACAAAAAATACAAGAAAATGTATAAATTGCAAAAAAAATATTAAACACTGAAATTATAGAAAAACATGAAAATGCAAAAAAGAAATAACAGGAAAAATTTAAAAAATACATAAAAAGTGCAAGACATTCATCGAAAAATGCTAAAGCAAAAGCAACTACACTCAAACAATCATAGCAGATTAAAAACAAAAAAAATTAAAAGAAAATTTAAAATCAAATATTTTTATACTTGTTCAATTGTAGAAAGTTTGAACAGGTTTTGCAGATGCCGGTTTGGGTAAGAATTGGATAGACAAAACCATTATCATCAATCGCTGTCGAGGGTGAAAATTCGCAGGATCCGATTGATGTGGTTGTGATTGTACAATTCGCAGTCAAAGCCGTCAGGCATTGGGATGGTTTTGGCCAAATCTCCGTCTTGGACGATGATCAGGTGGTAGGGCTGGAAAAATGGCCTCCACATCACCAAGAAATCCAAGATTTTGATGGTCGATCGGGATCACGATGTCCAGTTCCAAGGTACAACAAATAGCAGACGGAGTAAAATAAGAAAAAAGTAGGGGCAGAAGACAGAAATGGCAAGAGCGCTCTTGCCTCTTGGTGGCAACGAGCGTCGCTGCATCAAACGTTAGCCGTTGTTGCATTAACATATTAACATATGAAAGTGAAAATCAAGGAAAAATGATAGATGGATTACAGCCCCCTCCTAGTCTACTAGTAGTTAGAAATATGAAATTACAGTCTCCTCCTGGTCTACTAGTAGCCTCCTTATAACCCACATCCTACCTATGGATTTGGCATCGATTCACAGTTAGGATTCATCCCATCTGTATGGTGGAGCTAAGATTTGTTGGAGTGAATTGAATAGTAAAACCCTTAAAAAGAAAGACCGCAACCTATTCAATCCTATTTCATATTCGGTATTTCTCCTGAAACTCAGTGCGGCGGTGGACGAAGCAAGATAACAGATGATTTAGAGCTCCTTCTCAACTTTAGGTTAAGATTGATGATGTGCGATTTAGCAGCTCCCTAATGGAAGGTAGCTCGGGTGCCGAGCTGACAAGTTCGTTGGGCCGATCTACAAAAAGAAAATATCAGAGTGCCCGACCTGCTTTACCCATGGTGGGCACTCTGATACTTAAGCCAACAAACTAAAGATTTTGGACAGAGCAAAAGAGCTAGAGAGCTGTGGGAGGTAAATTGTGCATACTTCTTGAAGATGGACATTAGGCCTTTATATAGGTATTGTTTGGTGTGAGCTCCATGCACCACGTCTGAGATCTCCGAGAAGATGTGGCTGTTCGGTCCTAAGTCCTCGGAAGTAGTTTCGCATGCAGGATAGGCTTTTGTGCCTTCCTCTGGAACATTCGGTGTCGGAATCGACTTTTGGAGGACCCAGGAATAGTGAAACGCCCGTGGAGGAAGTCGGTGAGCACGTCTTGCAGGTCCCTACCTAGACCTCATTCAGGTTGACAAGTCCTCGAGAGATGTCGCTCCTCACGCCGATGTCCCTTGGACTAGTACTGACAAGGTACCATACGTTAGCAAGTCCTCGAGGGAGGTCGCTCCTCACGCCAAGATCCCTTGGACCGGTAACGATGAGGTACCACAGATCAGCACTGGACAAGGTGCTGCTAGCTGCCCTATCATGGTGCTCGAGTTGTGTATGAGGTGCCCTGGACTGATTCCGGGGTGTGTCTCCTTGACTTGGCGAGAAACGCGTCTATCCGCATGGCATTATGGTGTCAAGCAATGAAGATGGATGGCATGTGTTGCTAGGTCAGTGGAGGTGTCAAGCAACGAAGACGAATGGCATGTGTTGCTAGGTCAGTGGAGGTGTCAAGCAACGAAGACAGATGGCATTTCTTCTTTGTTATGTCTAGCGGGTTAGAGAGGGAGTGCTACCAAAATGCTCGAGTCGAGGGGGGACCTTGGCTCAAGAGCGAAGAGGTTCCCATAGAGGGGCCTCAACCTCTCAACAAGCCCCATCTAGAACAGGTTTCGAGCCCTCCGAGCTGTCTGGCGAGGAGATAATGGATCTAGTTATCACTTATCAAATCCCTAATAACTTGAATTGTATCCAACCTGAGGATGGGCAATATCCGTGGGTCCATAGAAAGACCGAGGTATGTGTCTTCAAGGAAGCCCTCATTGTCGGGCTCCGCTTTCCCCTTCATCTGTTTATTTGTGAAATCCTCCGACACTATGGTTTGGCACTAGATCAAATGCACCCGAAATCATTCATGACCATTGTAGGTACCATTTCTCTTAGCTATCACCTCAATTTACCCTTAGATATAGAGATCTTCAATGGGATATGTCACGTAAAGTGAGTGCCAAACAAAACCCATTGCTTCTACATCAGCTATCGTCTTGGGTTTAGGCTACTAGGTGATTTTCTATCCAAGATCGCGAACTAGAAGACGAAGTTCTTCTTTTTGTGTCGCGAGGAAGGCTTGGCCTATGCCAATGACTTGGAGGGCCAAGGAAAAAAGGTATGAAGTCGAGTTTGACGAGGAGTTTTTGAACGACCTTAGACTCCTCGCTGAATGGCAAGCCTTGGTTGATGAGTTCCTGGTCGAACTGATGCTCATTGTGGCCAGCCTTAGCCCCATAGGTAGATCGCACTATATTCATTACCTTCAAATTTTATTTCTTACCCTTCATATTTCGATTGATTTTCTTTTTCATTTGATCGCAGGGATGACTAGCTTTTCATTGACTGTAAATGCAGCACGAAATCCGTTTAAGAAGAAGAGGGCGGTTGGTGAGTCTAGTCGTGAGGTCGGTGGAAGGTTGCCGTGTTGCGGTTGACTTGGAGGAGGGTAGTGACCCAATTCAGGTCGACCCTACTCACGTTGCTCTAGTACAACTAGCGAGCGCATCCCACTTCGATGAGGCGATGACTCCTTATGGTTTGAAGGTCCCTCCTTTCGTTCCTCGGGTCAATTGCTTGATCACTAATCGGATTCATGGCTCGTATGTGGCACTTCGTATAGGAAGGGGTATTCTCCTTCCTGAAGATGTCTGCATTTATCATGAGCTGGATCCCTCTGAACTCGGTGCGTGAATTATTTGAAACACCATGTAGGTAGGCAACTTTGCAACACTTGCTCCGTTGCTTTATTTATCCCTTACCGAGCTGTTTTACTATCCACAGATCAACTCGCTATGTCAAGTCATGTTGAAGCAGGTCAATGCTTTGAAGCATGAGTCCCGCGAGATGAGGGCCAACATAGAGACACTCCAATCACAGCTAGAGTCAGCCCATCTCAGCACCAAGGAGGACCGCCAACAGTTATGTTCCCTTAGTGCGAGTATGAACCGCGAGCTAGAGGAAGTTAGGGGGATGATTGCTAGCCTGAGTAGCAAGCTTCAGGGACAACAGGCCAGGCAATTTGGTGATATTCACCAAGCTGAAGTTGTTGTTGTTGAGCACTTTCACCAATCTCCAGAGTTTGAACAGGAGAGAATTGAAGCGGTAGTACCTTCTTTGAAGAGGGACTTCAAACTATGCCACCACTTTCTTCGAAGCCAATACCTGGACATTGACTTGAGCTCTATCTTTCTTAGGTCAGTCCCAGACGATCTGACCCGAGAAGTCGAGGAAGAGGCAACTACTCTAGAGGAGGTAGACAACGACGAGGACAATAGTGAAGGCGGCAACGAGAATGATGACTAGTGGTGAACGTCTTTTTTTGGACTACTATACATCATGCTTGCGAGCTCGGTAAAACTTGAATTTGTTGTGACCTATTCTCTATTTCATTGGTTGTATGAAATCTTCTCTTGAATGGAACTTCTAAAGTCTTCCCTTCCTCTCTATTTCTCTTTTTTTTTATCTGTTTCTCTTGCATAGATTGGTCTACTTGTTGCCGATGCGTTTCGAGGTCAGCTTAAGGGGGCCTTGAAGCTGAAAGCGGTTTACTTTCCCCTTAGAGTTCGGTTTGACCAATTCGCCAAAGCGGATGGTCATTCTATAGTAGCTTTTCTACCCTACTTCAATTAGACGTATTAGGAATTATGCCCACCCTATGAGCTAATCAGTCATCCTGCGGATGTGGGTGCACCTGACACATCTGGGAGTCGGGCACAAAATGTGGTTGAATCTATGCCATCGCGAGGGAGTGACTCTCTTGGGTCTGTATTCGCGGGTCTATTCCGCACATGTATTGCACCTGCTCCTCTTGGAACTTCTGGTCATCCACTCCTACTAAATACATCGGGGGCTCACCTTGAGGGGGTATCTCTACTGCCTGCGGGTTGCCTACTCTCATGGAAACCATGAAAGATTCGACCTGTGAGGTCGGCTCCACAATCAACTAGCTGCTAACTCTCACGAGAGCCATGGAGGGCTTGATCAGCAATGAGGCCTTGTAGTTAGGGCTGAGAGACTATCTGGGCCAGATTACTGAAGCTTGCCCAAGCTGGTCATTTAGATTCTGCCTCCCTTGTGATAGCATTTTCAATACGTGCTTTGCTGTTGGCGTTGGACAGTAGGTCAGTGCTATAGCTACACTACGTCAGTCATCGGAGATGTTGGTTGTCTACTCCTACGATAACCACAGGGAGCTCAACTTGTAGGGGAGGCTCTACTATTTATAGGTTGCCAACTCATACGGGAGCCTTGAAAGGCTCGACCCAAAAGGGCAACTACACAGTCTGTTGGCCACTGACTCCCACGTGAGCCACAAAGGGCTCGATCTATAGAGGCAACCTCACGAACAGAGTTGACGAGGCTTGGCCACTGACTCCCATGTTGAGAACCTGGCATTTAAGTAGTGGTTTCCACAAACGGTGCCAATTGATGATACATGATCTGGTAGCTCCCTATTAGAGGACAGCTAGGATGTCGAGTTGGCGATGTTACTAGGTCAATCTGCAAAAAGGCAATATCATAGTGCCCAGCTGCTTTACTCGTGTGGGAACTCCAATGCTTAAGTCAGCAAACTAGAGATTTTTGAGAGAGCAAAAGAGTTTGAAAGCTGCAAGAGCTAAACTGCGCATACCTATTAAAGTTAGAAATGAGACCTCTATATAGGTATTGTATGCCATGATCTCCACACACCATGTCCGAGATCTCTAGGAAGATGTGGTTGTCTAGTCCAAAGTCCTTGGAGGTAGTTTCGCATGTAGACTAGGCTTTTGTGCTTTCATCTAGAGCATTCGGTATGGGATTTGATTTTTGAAGGACCTAGGAATGGTGGGACGCCTGCAGAGGAAGTCGGTGAGCACGTCTTGCAGGTCACCACCTGGACCTCAGTTAGGTCGGCAAGTGCTTGAGGGAGGTCGCTCCTTATGCTAAGGTCCCTTGGACCAGTACTGATGAGGTACCATAGGTTGGCAAGTCCTCGAGGGAGGTCGCTCCTCACGCCAAGGTCCCTAGGACTGGTAATGACGAGGTACCACAGGTCAGCCCTGGAAGAAGTGCTGCTCCCTGCTGAGGTGCCCGAGTTGTTTATTAGGTGCCTTGGACTGATTCCAAGGTGCATGTCCTTGATTTGGCTAGATACGCATTTATCCGTGTGACGCTGAGGTGTCAAGTGAAGAAGACAGATGCCACATGTTGCTAGGTCAGCGGAGGGCCAAATCATCCCTCATTAGAGATCTCCATCCAATGGTCATGATCGTGCTCAACGTCATCCCTTGGGAAGAAATAGTGGTGTTGAAGCTTCAACGGAAAAATAGAGAAACCCTAACTTCAATGATTGGACAAAGAAATAATTCCATAATAGTTCCATTTGATTGTTTTAACCCTCCCTTTGACCCAACTGACCCTAATCCTTCAAGAACCCTCTTCTCCTGGCCCTAATGGATCACTTGACCCATATGACCCACGGTCAAGACTGCCAGCCCTACTACTCCTTAAGAGCTAGGGGGCAATGACAGTTTTGAAGATTGCAATATGTTGATGAGAAATGTTGAATGATAGAATGATCTTGATCAAATGGAAAGATATCCCATAAACAGATAATATGTTTACTTTCCACAAGCTTTGGGAACTTGATCTAGGTTTTTGTGAGAACTAAGTAAGCTTCAAATTAATTGGAGTTGGATGATCTTTAGTGCCATAGATGACATTCATCCCTGTTCAATGTCTTTTCAATTCCAATTTGGTACTCTAGTCTCTTGAATTATTAAATCATGGGTTGAGTTCATGAATTAGGTTCAATACTTTGTTCTTGATTTCGCCCTATAAGCCACAAGTTGGATTTGGGCACACAAATGCGAGACAAGAATGGACTAACTAGGCAACCAGTACAAAAATATTATGGTTCCTCTTTTGTAGCATAATTTCCACCTTTATCCTTAAATATGATACATAAATATTGGATGTATTTAAGGCACAACTCATAATGCTCGCTCATATGCCACTAGGTCTGTTAAGGATTTGGAGTTGAACAACATATACCTAGATCAGGATTTGCTAGATTATATATGCATGTAGAGTATCTAGGTTTGAGTTTGGATCCTACTCATTGTTTTCAACTAGTGAATGACCCCGTACTTAATCAGTAATGTTAAATTTACATTATGGAATCAATAATGTTAAATTTATATTTATTAATATTTTAAATAATTATTAAAATTTTCAAGAAATATTTATTTCAAAAAATAGCTTTTCAATAATTATTAGAATATGGATAGTTTTCTTTTGTTATGATACATAGAGGGTTAATGATTAACTAAGATTGATAGAATGTAGGCAGAAGTGGTTGTAGATAACCACTTTTGCATTTTCTGCATTTTTTAGGAATGGATTGAAAATGGTGATAGTGGGTTGTGGGCTTTAGTAGCAACTTCTCAGAAAATGTCACGTGTCTAGCTTTCCAGAAAAATGAGAAGGCCATGTGTCTGAATGGTGGGKGGGGGGGGGGATTGTAGCCTGGTAGTGGGTTGTGGGGTTTAGTAGGAATTTCTCAAAAATTGCCATGTGTCTAGCTTTCTAGAAAGTGAGAAGGCCACTTATCTGAGTGGTGGTAGTGGGCTATGGACTTTAACAACAACTTCTCAGAAAATGCCATGTGTCAAAATTTGAAAAAGCCGCGTGTCTAAATGGTGAGGGTTGTAGCCTGAAAGTCTTCCTTTAATATATATATATATATATATATATATATATATATATATATATATATATTAGATTTGGAATTCAGGTTATATTTGGATTTTATAAATTCTCCACAAAATCAACTAAAAGAACCTTGAAGATATTTAACTCAATATTTCTATGTTCAAAAATTTTTTATTGGTCTTTTTAGTTAAAAGTTTAGTATCTTAACCAATAAGTATATGTTAACTACATTTATATCTTTATGGGTTTGAGTTGGGCTGTGCTGCAGTAGAGGTATAAATTGGGTTGTGCTGCCCATGGCATGACACAACCCGGCCTGAATTTGGGCCAGCTCGGCACGACATAGCATGTGGGCCATTCCAAGCCCGACACAATGGTCCAGGCCGTGCTAGGCTTGGGGTTTCAGGTCGATGGGCTGGGCTGGCACAGCACGACATGACTGTGTGTGTCATGTCGCCCACGGCCCACGGGTCAGCATAGCACAACCCGTGGACCCATAGTGAGCCATGCTCGGCTCATCCAATGTCCCCAACAGCTAGTTCTAGCTTTTTGGGGTTTTTTTTATAGAAATAACCCCCAAACATCTATTAACAACTATAGGGGCTTTTATGTATTGTGGTTTTGAAGGGAGAAAGAATGATACAAATGCCCCAATAGTTATATAATAGCTAGTTTGGGGGCATTTTGGGTAATTTGATAAATAACTTTATAATAACGAAAATATCCCTCCCAACAACTAAAATATGACTACTTTTTAAGGTATTTTGGGTAATTGAATTATTTTCAATTCCTATAAATAGCCATATCCTCCACTATTCTCATCACACCAAGTCAACAATTCTCTTAATCTCTTCTCTAGTTCTCATACTCTCTCAAGTCTCAACCTCTCATACATTCTCTGATTCTCCAATTCTCAACTTTATTGAAGTTTCAACAAGAAGGCTTTCTCAATATCTCAAGTAAGCAATTTGGGAGGCTTGGACTCTTGGAGTTGAAAGGCTTCAACCATTGAAATCAAGTTGGGATTCCGAACCAGCAATTTGGGTAAGTGCAATTAAATTAATTTTTATTCTTTTAGAATTAAAAAATGGCTGGCTCCTCTGAAAACCAATTCCCCAACATGTTCAATGTCGACGATATTCAGTTGCAAAATGGTAGTATTGGCACCAATATGGATGCTATTGATATTGATGGAATTTCACCCCTAGCACTGATACTAGGGGAAAGAAAAAGAAGGCCACTAAGTTGATTAACCTAGTTTGGAAAATATTTAAAATAAAGGAGGTTCAAGGGTAGGGAAAAAGAGTTGTTTGCAAAAAATGTAGGAAAGCCTTTAGCTATTGTACCAAGGGTGGTACTAGCAATTTGGGCAGACATTTGTTCACCCATTAGAAAGAAGAAGAAGATGAAGGGAGAGAAAGAACACAAACACAAATTGGGCAGGGTGGGTTGGTACTTTTAAATATTCTCAAGAAAAATGAGGTAAGAATTAGCAAAATACATTGTACATGCTAAACAACCATTTTTGTTAGTTGAAGATATTGAACTTGAAAAATGATTACGTAATTTTGTAAATCCTTAATTTAAAAAAGTTTTTAGGTATACTATTA